TCCTTCTCCCTTCCTCTCTGAAATCAATAAACTATACTTTTTAAAAAATTGAAGACAAGATCATCAAGTATTATGAAATGGCACAGGGAGTGCTTCCAATGAGACTCATGGGGAAATTACAGGACTGCAGGAGGCCCTTGGGAAAACTGATGAAGCCCTTGAGTAGTTTTCCAAAAGTAAGTCTCTTGATAATACGATTTCCACTTCCAGTTCTGATTGTGTCTAGTTCTGAGCCAGCCATCCTGTTGTAAACAGCCATAAAACTGGACAAAATATATGCAGCAAATGCATGCCTTGTTTGCATGGACAGCAGAAGTGAAACACTGCAACACTGAGAGAAATGAAATTCACGCGGTGAGCCCCATGATTACCATGACATTTGCTTAGGGACAAGTTCTCTGACTGTGGTACAGTGAGTTGGAGTCCAAGCAGAGCAGTGCAGTGCCTCTGAGCTGAAGCAGCTAGAATCTGTGGGACCGGGTAAGGCAAAGAGGAAGAAGGGAACTTGGGTGTGGAGGGCCATAGTCCTTGGCTTCGAGCTGAGTTGTGATTGCACAGGGTGAGACTGCATTGGTCTAACAGAGAGTACCACTATGAGGTTGAAAGTGGGACAGGGACGCTAGAAGCTGAGCAGTACTAAGGGATAGCGGAGGTCCAGCCCAGCCAGAGTGGAGAGACCTCCTCAACACCCTTTCTCTACTCTGAGAATTGAGCTAAAATACCAGAAATACCCTACTTACTCTACAGACCTATAGAGCAGGGTCTACTCAAGACCCACCCAACAAAGCCAAAACCAAGCCCTTACAAGCTCCTCAGTAGAAAGTTTGGATGTCCAGTCCCACAAGATTTATGGAATTGGAAAAAACCTTGAGTGTCCTCATAGCTAACCCTACAAAAATTCAAGGTGATTCATGAGTAACTGAACTGCTAACTAGAACAAAAATCCCATCATAAGTCTCTACAACATATCATCTGCAGTACCCAGTATACAATTAAAGGTTACTAGATATAAAAAGAGACAGGGAGCCCTGGCCAGGTGGCTCAGTTGGTTGGAGCATCATCCTATACACCAAAAAGGTTGGGGGTTCAATTCCCCACCAGTGCACATACCTAGCTTGCAGATTCAATCCCCAGATGACACGTGTACAAGAGGCAACTGATCAATGTTTCTCTCTCACATTGAGGTTCCTCTCTCTCTCTCTCTCTCTCTTTCTCTCTCTCTCTCTCTCTCCCCCCCCCCCTCTTTCTCTAATGAAAACATATCCTCGGGTAAGGATTTAAAAAGAAAGATACAAGGAAATGTGACTCACAGTTAACAATCAATAGAAACCTACCTCAAAATGGCCAAGATGTTGAATTTAGCAGACAGACCATTTAAAGCAGATATTATAGGGTTGGCAAAAGTAGGTTTACAGTTGTTCATATGGAAAATAATACAATAATTAATAAAGAATAATACAAGAACAAACTGTGTTTCACATACTCACAACTAACTATAAACCCACTTTTGCCTCACCCTGTATAGATATGCTCAAAGAAGCAAAGAAAAATATGGTACTAATGAGGGAACAGTTAAGGAATCTCAGGAGAGAAATTGAAACTATAAAAAAGAACCAAATAGAAATTCTAAAACCAAATAGCACAATATTTGGAATGCAATATTCATTGAACAGGCTTAATAGCAGTTTGAAGGGTCAGTGAACGTGAAGACAGAACTGTTTATCAGATTTGAGAAACAGGGGGAAAAAAGAGAAAAAATGAACAAAGCCTCAAACACCTATGGGACTATATCAAATGGTCTAACATACATATAATTAGAATCCCAAAAGGAGAAGATGGAGAGGATAAAGCAACATATATATAGTTCCCCACTGTGATGAAACACTGATGTACAGATCCAAGAATCTCAGCAAACCCTGAGCAAGATAAGACAAAAAAATACCTAAAAACACACCTTATCAAACTTCTGAAAACCAAAAATTAAAAGAGTATTTTGAAAGTAGCCAGAGGAAAAATGACACATTACAGCAGGAGAATAACAATGCAAATAATGGGTGACTTTTCATCAGAAACAATGGCGGCCAGACTACAGAAGAGAAACATACTCAAAGTATTCTAATATTCAAAAGAAAAAAGAAACTGTTACTCCAGAACTCTATAACCAGTGAAAATATCTTTCAAACATAATGATGAAATTGACATTTTCAGCTAAATAAAAGCTGATATAAAACTAATCTATACAGTAAATCCTCACTTAACATGGTTGTCAATAGGTTCTGTGACTTTAAGTGAAACAACATATAATGAAAACAATTTTACCATAGGCTAATTGATATACATATATAAAAGTTAAGTTCCTATAATACTGGGTTTGGCAATAATTTCTTGGATATGACATCAAAATAACAGGCAACAAAATAAAAAGATAGATAAATTGTGCTTCGTCAAAATTTAAAACTTTCATACATCAAAGGATTCTATTGAGAGAGTAAAAAAGAAAACTCACAGAATAGGAGAAAATATTTGAAAACCATATAGCTGATAAAGGATTAATATCCTGAATAGGTTAAAAAATTCCTATAATTCAACAACAATAAAACACAATTTTTAAAATGAGCAAAGGGCTTGAGTAGGCATTTCTCCAAAGAATATCTATAAATGGCAAATAAGAACATGAAAAGATGTTCAAATCCATTAGTAATTAGAGAAATGCGAATCAAAAGTGCAGTGAAACACTACTTCACATCCATTGGGATGGCTATAACTAAAAAAAAAGACAAGAAATGTTGGTGAGGATGTGGAACCTTCATGCATTGCTGGTGGGAATATGAAAGACATAGCTGCTTTGGAAAATAGTTTGGCAGCTCCTCGAAAAGGTAAACATAGAGTTATCATATAATCCAGCAGTTCCACACTCCTACCCAAAAGAATTAAAAGCAACGATTCAAACAAGAACGTATACACCAAGTAAAATCTCAGACATCTCGTGTAGCAGTATTTTCACCGATACATCACCTTAGGGCAAGGGAAACAAAGGAAAAAAAATAAACAAATGGGACTACATCAAACTAAAAAGCTTCTGCACAACAAAAGAAACCATCAACAAACTGAAAGGGGAACCTACTATATGAGAGAACATATTCGAAAACGATACATCTGATAAAGGGTTAATTTCCAAAATATACAAAGAACTCATACAACTCAACACCAGAAAGACAAACAATCCAATTAAACAATGGGCAAAGGACTTGAAAGATATTTCTTCAAAGAGGACATACAGATGGCCTATAGACATATGAAAAAATGCTCAACATCACTAATCATCAGCGAGATGCAAATTAAAATTACAATGAGGTATCAGCTCACACCTGTCAGAATGGCTGCCATCAATAAATCAACAAATGACAAGTGCTGGCAAGGATTTAGAGAAAAGGGAACCCTAGTACATTGCTGGTGGGAATACAGACTAGGGCAGCCACTGTGGAAAACAGAATGAAGGTTCCTCAAAAAATTAAAAATGAAACTGCTGTTTGACCCAGGGATCGCACTTCTGGGACTATTAGTATATCCTAAGAATCTCAAAACATCAACCAGGAAGACTATATGCACCCCTCTGTTCATGGCAACATTATTTACAATAGCTGAGATCTGGAAACAGCCCAAGTGCCCATCAGTAGATGAGTGGATTAAAAAGCTGTGGTACAACCCAGCCGGCATGGCTCAGTGGCGCATAATCCACAGGACACAGACAATAGCATGGGGAAGGCCTGAGGTGGGGCAGGTTTGGGTGGAGGGGAGCAAAAAAGGAAAAAATGGGAGACATCTATAATACTGTCAATAATAATAATAAAATAAATAAATAAAAACTAAAAATGTATGCACCACTATTCATAGCATTATTCACAATAGCCAAAAAGGTTGAAACAATCCTAATGTCCACCAACAAATAAATGGACAAATAAAATATGGTATACCATATACATACAATGGAGTATTATTCAGTCAATTATATAAGGTACCTAGAATAGGCCAATTCACTGAGACAGAAGTAGAAAAGAGGTTACCAAGGATGAGAGAGGAGTGTACATGGGGAGTAATTGCTTAATGGGTACAGAGCTGCTATTTGGGATAATAAAAAAGTTCTGGAAATATATATAGTGGTGATGGTTGCACAACATTGTAGTGGTGATGGTTGCACAACATTGTAGATATCATTATTAGCACCTAATTGTACACTTTTTAAAATAGTAACAATGGCAAATTTTATTATATATATATATATCACAATTTTTTTTAAAAAGTAAAAACAAAGAATTAGTGAGGGGTTGTACTTATAACTCAAAATGTGCTCAATGTAAGGTAAGTTCGCTTCCTTTAAGTAAGTATATTCAATTAGACCTTTAATGTCTACTGTTAAATGTCTACCATTAACTGTCAAAGGACTTTTTTCTGGTAGTGATTTTCTCCCCTGCCTGCCTGGATGTGGCCACACAAGGTGAGTGTTTGTGTGGCCCTGTTGGTGCCCATAGGCCTCACAGAGATGAGTGCAGACCCTGGGGGTGAGTCACGGGCCAGAAAAGACAGGACAGCCCACAGCGAGGCCAGCCATCCAGGTGGCTGGAGTGGGCTGAGCTGCTCCCTCTGAGGCACTGAGGACAGGTGCCTGGGCCGGGTGCCTGAGCCGGGTGCCTGGGCATGGGGAGCAGTCGGCGGTGCAGGTGCACTGAGGGCACGAAAAAGTGCCTGTGCCTGAGTAGGAAGGGTGATTGGACACTTGGGGCGGATTTCCCAGCCCTTGGCCTGTGGGGTGAAGGAAAGCCCTCCAAAGGAGTGGGGGGCAGCCAAGGGCCCCACCTACCCCAGCATGCCCAGCACCCCCCCCACACACACTCACCTTCTGCCCGAGCGCAGGGGAGAAGCTCAGGGTGCGCTTTGATGCCTCGCAGTTTGCCCGGGTCTTTCATTGATGATGCCCACGTTGGTGTTCCAGGTGGTCCAGTTCACCTCATCCACCTGCAGGGCGAGGAGATGGGAGAGCAGGGAGCTGGCGCCTGAGGGCATTGGCCAGCTTTCCAGGTCGAGGGCTTGGGCCCACAGGCCAAACCCAAGAAGCCCAGCAATCAGGATGGGAAGACATAGCTGGTGGGGGAGGGAGGGGAGACAGACCTGCCTTTTGGGCACCACCCTGGAGATATGTTCTCAGACCACACCATGGGCTCCAGGGACTTTAAATATTAGATTCTTGGTTCGGTCTCTAATTACCAGGTGACCCCTACTGGACACCTCATTTTCCAGGATTTAACGCCTGGGTCTCACCAGCTGAGATCTAAGGTGGGCCCACTATGTCCACAGCTGAGCACCAGGGGT